CCTAACCATGCATCTCATTTGAGGAGATGCGTTAGTTTTATGGATATCACTTCCCTGATTAATAAGTATAGTTGTTAATGTATATTCTTATGGCTTTCAGAACAAGACAAGACAACTTTAGGAACACACTTCTTGTGATATGCTCAGTGGTAAGTACCATAACTGCAATCAAGTTTATTGCATTTTTATAGAGCAAAGGCCTTTTCAAGACCACACTTGCTGCAGCTTAGTCATACAACAGCCTCAGATCTAGTTCTGGAATAATAGGCTAGTAATGTGATATACTTCATAATGAAAATCAGTGTAAAGCACAGGTGGTTGCTAGCATTTGTGTGGTCAGATATAAAAGCTTCACTATGGGTACAAGCTACTACTTTCCCACTTGAGGAAAGTACAATTAAAAGTGGTTTCCAGATGCGCTGGCATGCATAGATCCCTTTCAAATGTGAATTTTTCAAATCCTAAGCTAAACTGCATCCAGCACAGTTAAAGCTAGTGCTTTATATATTAATAATAATAGAATTGAAAGCATTACCACTGCATTAATAAAATTAAGTATTTTTAAATAATGTAAAGTATCATGTTATAGTTTCAGTAGATTCCTTTTGGTGTTTTTGAGAAATGATCTGGAATTGGTCTGCTAACTGTAAACTAAAAACTTTTGTAGAAACATATAACATTATACCATCATAGCACAAGAAGAAAGATTGAGTTCAGTGAGACTTCTCCCTGGTTCTGGTTTTTTCTATTTAACACCAACGATGTGTTGATCTCAGTGTAATACTGATAGTCCCTACCCTTGAAAGTCCAAATGCCTGAAAGCCACAAGTTGCTTCTGCCTTTTTATAATTAACATTTTTATTGTTAGCCTTGCAAATACAAAATGTCACACAATACCCAGATGAATGACAAATGCTAATTAGCTGCTCTTTAATGTATCTTGGGGCACAAATAAGAGGAAAATTCTGTCGGGGCATTCAAAATGCACCCATCAATAAGCTGTCACACAGGTGTAGTTTAGTTCAAAATTGAAAAGCATTAGTATTCTTCAAAATAATGTCAGAAAGAGGATGCAGTTCTCTCAGTAAGCCAACTATATACATTTTCGATGATATTCAGGTCCCATCTAACTTGATTTGAATTAGCATTTCAACCTTGTATTCTTGTAATTCCCCCGCCCCCCCCCCCCCCCCCCCCCCCCCGCCCCCTCTATCACCCCCCCCCCCGTATTTCTGTGGAGAAAATATTCTTTATTACAGTAATATAAGCCGCCACCATTTTGACCCAAGTATCAAAAAGGCATACTGAGACTTTTTTTCTTTTCTTACTGATACTTCTCCTAATCTCTATCACAGCCACAAAGCTCTGTGCCCCTAAAAATGAAGGTTAGGACTTATGAAGACATTCAAACCATTGAACTAGGTAACAGGAGAGCTTTTGCAGATATCAGGCCCAACATTCCTTGACTTTAGAATACCGTCCTGTTAAATTTATTCAGCTGTTTCTTCAAACATGAGACCTCTTGCATTTTCTGTCAGGTGAAAGGATGATTTCTTAAAATCCTTGTTTTAGAGGACTCTCAAAAGAAAGAAATCAATCTTTTTGAATTTTTGACCATACCTTTTCTTCTTTAGACATACGCACATGTAAGTAATTATTCCATTTAACTTGAATTTCTGTGATCAGTGGGCAAATTGATTAGGGGACGATTAGTTCCTTATTCATGTGTCCTTACAGTAAAGTACTATTATGATGCCTCACCATTAGAACTTGGCCCAAGGACAAGTTCCTGCCAGGGAAACATCATACCAGCTTGACTTTTCTAAGACTAATATGCAGATTTTAGTTCATTCTGTTTTGTAGAATTATGCTGATTCTCTGTCTGACTGATTGATATTGTCTGTCAGACAAATTAAAAGGATGTCAGAGACAAGTTTAGAAGTGGACTCAGACCACACATCTGCTAGAGACTTACAGGTGGCATAGGAATCTATGTAAGATTGTCTTTGTCTGAACCATTTGATTTTTCTAGGGATTTGTTTTATTTTTTCTTTGTACAGAGCCTAGCACTTGGGATCCAGGTCAAATTAATGATTTTCCGGACCATGGGAGGGGTCACAGGTGCTGTCACAAAAATGTTTAATAATAATACAGGCAGTAACCAGTTATCCAAAAAGATTCTAATATTTCTCTGAAAGCTTCCCATCCTTGCTAGCAAACCTGTGTTCTATGACCAAACAGTTTCTATTTTCTAGAAAGTGAAATGTGAACTCTTTCTTTTCTATTTTTGCAAAATGCTGTGCCAAAGTAAGCAATATGTGCAAAAATAGAAACCCTTTAGTGTGAAAGGACACAAGATGGGCACTGCCATGACGCTTCATTTTTGGGCTGCATCCTCTGTTTATATGTGACATCACCAGATGCTAGCCCTCCTTTATGTTCCACCTAGCTATCAGTTCTGCATATCAATCTATGCTTTGGGGCATTTTCTACAAATAGGTTACATTTACTACTGGCTGCAATGAATAAAGCAAGAAAATTCACCTAGCAAATAAATTGGGTTTTAAAATATTGTTTTCCCTCCTGTTTAAATCTTTGTCATTGAAAAGAAAAATAAAAGGGCTGAATAGAGTAAAGATGTAGAGAAGAAATTGCTATGGGCCGTGCATTAAAATATCTTTTCCAAGGGGCTGAAGGAAGGTTGCACATTTAGAAAGTAAAGATACTGCTTTGATCAGTGGATGGAGAATACAGCCCAACAGGGATAAATCTTTCTTCAAGCACAATAAGTCCATCTAATGATATTTAGAACTGTTTAGGCAGAACTCCCCTGGAGCGAAGTTGTCTGCCAAATGCTGATTACAGTTTTGAGGGAGGCTGGTAAGTTGATGACTTTAGACTGGGGTGAATAGAGGACATATAAACTGTTATGTACATACGATATTGTTGCTGAATGCTATCTATTGCCAGTTTTGCAACTACACCCTTTTCCCACAGATCCAGTTTGTAGTTACTTTGTATTACAATTAGAGTTTGAAGAGCAGTGTAGTTTAGGGACCGAAGTACAATTAATTACAATGAACTTGGAGAAACATTTCCTTTAGATAGAATTCAACCTATATTTTATGTATCTCCTTTTCCTCCTTCCCCCAATTTGTTGCTTTTGATGTTTTATTGAGAAACAAGATCATCATCTTCTAGGATTTCCTCTGTTCCAGATGTTTATTCTTCACCTGAAGCTATAATCCTTTGTTTGTGACTGCACAATTAGTTGCTGGGAGATGTCTATGATCTTGCAAACAGAGGATTAAGATTTTGGGGGAGGAAGAGGCCACAGAAGCAGAATGACTCTTACTAACTAAAGACTCTGTTTTCATACAAGTATTCCTAGAAAAAAAATTAGAGCAAAGTTTAGAATACATATGAACTGTTTCTAAACAAAATCTCCTTCACAATTTTCCATGAAAGTTCAGCAGAGCATCTAGTGTGTTGGGAAGTAAATTTTACCATGGTTTGTTTCATGCTTGCAGATTTTTTTTTGTATGACTTGCTGTGAGAGTAAAAGTTATTCAGTAACCTGGAATGTGGTTGGAAATGGTACGTTTTCCTGTCAGGAATGTTTCTTGTTCTGGAATGAGACAAAAATCCAATTCTAGAAAATGTCTATTAAAAAATCTGTAAAAGTGTTGAATCAGGTAATCTGAAACATAGTGTTTAATTTTCAAATTATTTGTTTTGAATTTCTTTCTTTTTTAACATGCTTTACTATAAATTAGCTTGCACTTATGGGGAAGAAAAGTTATCTTGCCTCAGACAACGTTGAACTTCCTTCATTTTGGGAAAAAAAAAATGGAATGCTTCCACAATTTCAAAACTTTTATTTCCCCAAAATCAATTGGAAAGAGAAAATTTGTCAAACCTGACCCCCTTTGGAAACGCTTTTTATTTTAGTAAATCAAACTTTTCTAATAAACATTTTTTGAAAGATATACAAAAAATTCCAGCATAGTTATGTGACGGGTGTATTACATATCTGGCACTACTCTAATGCTTTGGGTTCCCAGTGCACTCTGAAAATACTATTGAATTAAGGATCGTAGTGTCCATTTGAGGTGACATGTATTCTTGTCCCCATTTTAGGGAGAAGGGAACTGAGGGAGAGGGTTCAACTCAGGAGCCCATAATTACGTTGACTAGCATTTACTTATGCCAGTAGTTCTTTTTAATTGAGCCATTAAAATTTAGTAGCTCCATGTTTAATAACTTTCACGATGCAAACATTTCTATTCCAGGTCCTCATTGTCCCTGAGTGCCACTTAGAAAATGTTTCTTGTCTAAAGGCTCAGCCACAGCTTTGCTATAAGCTGAACACATGAGGTAGCACACTGTTATTCGGCCATAATCTCCCTCTCGGTTCCTCTGCTGGTCTAGGGA